AAAAAACAACTGATTCTTTAAGATATTTTAAAAAATTTGATTTCAATCAAAAATATCCACGTTACAATATGAATATCTTTTTCCGCCTTCTTCATCGGTACATTTAATAATTAAAATACTTATTAATCATTACCTGTCATTAAGTATTTGCAATCTGACCATCATTTTTTATCCACTGTGTTGTTTACTGTGCATACGGAAATACTGTACAGTTTACATTAATGTCAATCATTAACGTCATTTAACTTCCGATCAACACATCCAAAGTTATGTCACAATGTTATTAATTCCTGCATATTGAAATATACTACATGCGAATTTATTTGTTTCAAAATTAATATCAAAAAAATTTCTTCCAGATTCTCAATTATCTCTATTATTTTGTATTTAAATTAGTCAAGTTTAGTTAAATAATTCGGTAGTATCTAAATAAACTAAAATTACATCAAAAATCAATAAAGCAATAAGAGTAATAAACATAAAGTTACATCAGGAATCAATAAAAGATGTTAACTCAAGTCTGCATGCTAAATAAAACTATGATTTGTATTCATAAACATATATCTATAATAGCACTCAACAACTTGTAGTTATTTCAAAAATTGAATTCTAGTCAATCCGACTAAATCTAACTTTGATTATGCCTGAATTTTACCGATTTCCTTCCCATTTTCAACAAAACGAGTTAACAACTAATGAACGACAAAGCTTATATGATATTCATCAGAATTATTCGTATATCCCGAAAATTTGCAAAAAATTTGCATCTATGATTATCTTTATACTATATTTTTATACTATATATTCATTCGGAGTTGCTAATGTTCATGTTGTCGTGCTGATTTTCAAATTCATAGCTATAATTTGATAAATTAGAACAATAAAAATTTATATTCAATTTTAGTAAATAATTTGCTTGTAGAGGAAATAATAACAAAATAATCTTTCAAACATAAATAATTTTCTCCAAGATTTTCTACCCTGAACATGACGTGCAACATTTTTTATCTGATTTCTGTATCGTCACATCATTTCATCGTCACATTTTCAGATTTAAAAATGGCTGTCAGTGGATGTTTTAAGATTCGCAAAAGTATGAGTAATTTTTAAGAAAAATAATTATCATTTATATACTACAACATATTATAATATTGCAAGATATCAACCAGCAATTATTGCAATCAGAATGCAATCAGCACAAAAAATGATTACAAAATTATAATGCAAAAGCATTAATTACGATTTAAAATTTGCATGGGGATTGAAATTTTCATATGAAATGCTTTGCTATAATGCTGTTCCAACGTATTTTCTACAAATCAAATAATCCATTCATTTCACTAATGAAATCACTATTAACGAGCTTAACATAACACTGTTTACCTTGTTTTCAATCATTTAAATTCATTTTTGTGGTTAAATTTCAATATAAATGTTAAATTTATATTTGTGAAAGAAAGACATAAATGATAATTGACTATTTATGCATTATATTTTATATATTAATCTCCTTTTGTCAATTACAATTATTCTTTTTTTTTCAAAAATTTTGAAGCATGTCAATATATCTTTAATAATATTAAAAGCATTTTTAAAAACAATCCTTTAAGTATTGCATTGTTTCGAAATTTTTGTATGCTACAGTAATGTTTGCTATTCTATTCTTGTTCACTTCTCTTTCACATATAACTAATAGAGTTACTTCATGAGGTTAATTAACATAATTTATACTTTTCCTACTGATGAAAAACAAAATTTAAATAATGAAGTAATGGAAGAAAAACGTATTTTACTCAATTTTTTAAATATTTGAATTCAAATTTAACAAAAATCAATTCTATTTGCATTAATTTACTGGACGAGATTTTTCAGGATCTTTAAGGAATGCCGAAACACGATCTGCAAACCATCGTGGATATTTTATATGAAAATCATGACCACCAAGGAAATGATTATCAAGTCTGAAAAGAATTAAATTCTTGACCATGCATAAGCCAATTATTCAACAAACAGAAAAGGCAAAAGATAAGTCGAAAGATAAATATAAGCTATAAATTTAAAGCAAAAACAATTGAATAAACATGAATACTTAAATGAAATTATTAAATGCCTCCTGCATACGAAATCTCGATTATAAAAAATACAAGTTTTTTCTTTTTTAAAAAATTTTTTTCCTTCTATTAAATAGCATGGTAGAAAAAAAAATATACTTGCAATTAGAAATGACAGTTGAGAAATATTTCGGATCATTGCAAAATCTATCCATGCCACCATTTAGAATTAGTACGGGAATTTTTAAATTTGGCAGTACTTGATCTGATGGAAAACGACCACCAAGCAATTCATAAACTCTAAAATTTTTATCAACAATATAATAATAATAGTAGTAATACTACTGTATGTTAATTTTATGGCGTATTACGTCTTTTTGAAATGAAAATTGCATATTATGCTAAAAAAATGCATCATATTTTAATTTTTCATTCAATCTATTCATTTTTCAGTAAATCAAATAAAACGCTTCAAAAAAAAATTAAAAACATTACTAAATACTTGTGAATAATTGAATAAACGATAGATAATATAGATAATACGTGAATTCTTAATTTCCAATGCGTAATATAATTGTTAAATTTCTTACTGCTGAATTACATTACACAGATCAGTCCATTGTTTTTTTACAAATTCTTCCGGATAATGATTTAAAAATGCTTCCATAGTATCCGGTAACCATTGATCTGTG